TTAATCCTCGACCTCCACATCTCCCTATCAAGGGTCATGTCCTTGGTAAGCTGAAGTAGAGCCATGTCCTGCCTAATCACCTCTCCCCAGTACTTCCTAGGCCTCCCTCTGCCTCTCCTCTGACCCGCTATGGTCAACCTCTCGCATCTCCTCGCCGGGGCATCGATATCTCTCCTCTTCACTTGTCTGAACCATCTCAGCCTTGATTCTTGCAACTTGTCTTCCACAGGGGCCACCCACCTTGTCCCTAATAATTTCATTCCTAATCCGGTCCTTCCTGGTATGCCCGTATATCCATATCAACATCCTTATCTCTGCTACTTTCATCTTCTGGATATGAGATTTCATGACTGGATAACACTCGGCTCCATACAACATAGTCGACATAACTACCACTTTGTAGAACTTACCCTTAAGTCCTGGTGGCACATTCCTATCACACAAAACACCAGACACAAGCCTCCATTTCATCCACCCATCTCCAACACAATGCGCAACATCCTCGTCAATCTCCCCGTTCCCCTGAATAACAGACCCAAGATATTTAAAACTATCTCTCTTGGGGATGACTTGTGTATCAAGCTTCACCTCCATTTTTCTGATTCCTGCATCCCCATACTAAACTGGCACTCCAAGTATTCAGTTTTTGTCCTACTCACCTTGAAACCTTTAAACTCCAGGGTTTTCCTCTACAGCTTCAACCGATCGTTTACCCTGCAATGTGTCTCATCGATTAGTACTGTGTCATCTACAAATAACATACACCATGACACCCCCTCCCTGAATGTGGCACGTCAGCACGTCCATCACCAGGGCAAATAAAAATGGGCTAAGAGCTGAATACTGATGTAACCCAATCATCACAGGAAAATAGTCCGAGTATCCTCCCACATTCCTCACCCGAGTCTTCGCTCCATCGTACATATCCTTAATCATCCTAGTATACGCTACCGGAACACCACTAACCTCCAGACATCTCCATAAAACCTCCTTTGAGACTTTATCGTAAGCTTTTTCTAAATCGATGAACACCATATGCAGGGCCCTCTTCCTCTCCCGATACTGCTCCACCAACCTCCTCACAAGATGAATGGCTTTTATGGATGAACGCCCCGGCATGAAACCGAACCGATTCTCTAATATAGACACACTCCCCCTCACCCTCCTCTCCACTACCCTCTCCCACACTTTCATAGTGTGACTCGGTAGCTTGATACCCTGTAGTTGTTACAATTTTGGATATCACCCTTGTTCTTGTACAACGGGACCATCAAACTCCACCTCTATTCTTCGGGCATGTTCTTAGTCCTAAAAATAATATTAAACAGTCCAGTAAGCCACTCCAAGGCTAACCGTCCCACGGCCTTCTAAAACCCAGTTGCCCTGCCTATACTCATCTTCCGTCTTACTTCTTCATTCTCCTCAACCTTAATACGTCTACAAAACTTAAAATCACGACGGTTCTGTGAGTTTTCCAAATCGCCAAGCACAATGTTCCTGTCCCCATCCTCGTTCAAGAGTTTGTGGAAGTATGACTACAACCTACGCCTAATGCACGCCTCTTCTACCAATACCTTGCCATCCTCGTCTTTGATGAACCTCACTCGGTCTAGGTCCCGAGCCTTCCTCTCTCGAACCTTGGCTAACCTAAACAATCTTTTATCACCGACTCTTCCCCCAAATTCCACATACAGGTGTTCAAATGCTGCGGTCTTAGCCGCCGTGACCGCTAGCTTCGCTTCTTTCTTAGCCTTCTTATTATAACACTCCCAAAGCGTCCTCCTCTCCTCCTCGTCGGCGTTCTCCACTAACTTCATATACGCCGCTTTCTTAGCTTCTACTTTACCTTGGACCTCTCCATTCCACCACCAGTCACCATTGTGACCCCTGGAGAAACCCTTCGTGACCCTTAACACCGCTCAATAGCAGCTTCCCTAATATAGTTCACTGTCGAGGTCCGCATACAACTCTCTTCCCCACAATTCCTCCAAGCCCCCATATCCAACAACTTCTCCCCTAGAACAGGAGCTTTGTCCTCAGTCAAGGCTCCCCACTTGATCTTAGGTTGACCAAACACTGCTCTCTTCTTCTTCTCCCTCTTAATCTCCACGCCCATAACATAGAGCCTATGTTGGGTCGAAGCCACTCACTCGGAATAACTTGCAATCAGTGCAAAGGCCTCTATCCCTCTTCCTGCAGAGTAAGTAATCAATCTGAATCTTGGCTACCGCACTCCGAAACGTGACCAAGTGGTCCTTCCTCTTCTGAAAACACGAGTTAGCTAGCACCAAATCAAAGGCTCTATAAAGTAGTTGAATCATTTTTTTGATTTTAAAATTGATTTTATTGTATGAAATGAGACGACGATGACTAATAAATTATGATATACTATTAAGTAGATAACTTTGCACCCTACCACTTCCTCCTATCATCTTGATCTTCTTTAATTTTCTTTACATTATATCATTATACTAGTATTAAATTAACACTTTCGTAGCATGAACAGAATTAGAGAATCAGGGAAAAGGTCCCTAAATTTAGTAGCAGTAGTGGAAGCTTCACTGTTAAAGAAGATAGAGTTGTAGTAGTTGTAAGAGGGTTGGTTTGGGATTCTAACCATTTGAGGGATACAAAATAAGGACTAGTATATTATTAGGCATGTTTTGGAGTGTCTGGCTGTCATATTAAAGGCTAATAGTTTAATTCTTGAACGGATGAAAAACAAATAGTGCAACTGGTCTGTGCTATTAATTGCATAAAAAGTACCTAGAAATCCGAAACAAAAAGGGAGGTTATAGGGAAACAGACACAGTCTCCCACATGTAGCATGTGTATTAAGAATAGTCAATTCTAATTTCAATGCCTTGAGAGCTTAATCCAAGAAATTACTTTTATTTTTTCTGGCATACAAATACAACTGTAATAAAATAGAGCTTGAAAAATATTTCCAATATTCACTTGACACAACATGGAATTGGCTCAAAATTCAAGGAGATCGCATGGGCTGCGCTCATGGGGGTCCAATTCAACTCAAGACTCAACACTTCGAAGTCAAAACTCAAATGGTTACTAGTATTAGGAAATATAATTTTGCTGTAAAATGTGTTACTATTGTTTTATATTGCATTTGGTTAGCATTTCAGTCTGGTGTAAGTAATATCGTAATTTCGTTATTATCTTATATCGAATCTAACAAGGAATAACTTTTACGTGAATTAACTTTTTTTTTGAGCATTAAGAAGATACTTATATATTATAAAGCTAGATATTGTTCAGCATATTACAACCCATAGTACTGGCTGGGTGATGAAAACTACTACCATCATATGCTATATTCTGGTTTTCTAATGCCTTAAACATATTGCATAAAGAAGTGGAAATTTTCTTTAAGCATAGATTGTCCGCACTCATATTTTTTTTCAAAAGTTCTTGTATGTGAATTAACTTTACGAGAATAAAACATACGTATAAGAGACCGAAACACTTTGGTTTCATTTTTATTTTTTATTTACTTTAAAGACAATGATAAATTAGGAGTAATTTATATACTGTATAAATCATTTTAAATTATGAGATGACTTAAATATCTGCAAAACCAAAAAAAAAAAAAAGATATGTGCACTAAATCATTTAACAATTGTTAATTTTTGGTATTATAATCATTGCATAATTTTATCCTCGAACTAAAAGATTGCTATTGATGATAGATGCAATAAATAACAATAAGTCTCAATTAAATTTAAAAATATTATATATTTAAGAATTTTTATCTATATATATATATATATATATATATATATATATATATATGTAATATGTAATCTATGTAAAGAAGTTATTGGTAGAAGAAGTAGTGTAGACCTGTCCATGCTATATTTCAAGAATCCATTTTAAATAACTCCAACAAGATTCTACGTATCTCAACGTGCTTAAGTTCTTTTTGTACTATTCGACAAACTCTATGACTTTATATTTGGCTGGGGACCTCTTCCTCTATCTTCGTCTTCACCCTTTAATTTCGCTTTCACTTGTAAATTTCCGATGATTTTTCAAGAGTTAATAGGATAGAGACTCACCAACTGTTTTCTTCAAGATTTTGTCCACCTGCTAACTTACTGCTGCTCTCTTCTGACCATTTGGCAAGGAATTGCTAACTAGATTTATCAATTTTTATTATAGGAGGACTAAAAAGGAAACAATATAAGTGATTATTTCGTGTAATTTGTCCTAAATAATTAACAGTGAGTTACAATTTTTTTTCATATTTCTACACCTTAAAAAATATTTCTAAGTAATATTCTCTATCTAATTAGAACTTTCATTAAAACGTATAAAAGAATTTCGGTGGATTTCAATGGAATGTAAGATATATGTCTATTGGTAGTAAAACATCATTCACAGCGAGTAAATCCTTCACACTTCAACTTCTTACCGAGATTGTAATATTCTTATGATCTATGGTTAGTATCACGTATAAGCAGCGATTTCAAATCCAAAAATAAAGCGTATTTAACAGTTTTATACAAGGCATAATTTAATATTTTTAGATAATAGGGAAAAAGTTAACATTTAAGTTGCTCTTGCTATCACTCTACAAAACCGTACACGAGATGAGATTGGCTAATGGCTGCCAATACACAAAATAGGTCACTTAAAATTCATGGACCATTTGGACAAAAACTCTTCTAAATTGGCGAGACCATGCATCTAATGACAAGAAAAAAGAAACAAAAACAATTTGGAATTACATCAATGAAATGTTTTAAAAACAGAAACCCCGAAAAAGGGACAAATGCCTTGGTTTCTCAAGACACAAAGTTTAAGTTGAGCAAAAACAAACCCCTCTGGTTTTGTTAAACAAAGTAACAAACCAACACTTTGTTCTTTTGTTTTTTGAGTTTACATAAACCAAAGAATAGAGAAGAGGGTGCATTGCTACGAAATTTGAGAAAGAAATAAATAAGCCACCTCAACATTACATTTTTCTAAAACCCAAAAATCAACATTGGAGATTCAAACAATTGCCATATTAGTAGTATCCAACACTAGGAAAAAAAGCCTATCTTAGCTTCTCCAAAACCCAATAAAAAGCCCTTTATAAGCCGTTAAAAATACTATTTCACCTCAAATAACATTTCTTTTTTACTCTAAGCTATACAATCTTGTTTTGGGATTTTATATTAAAGGGAGAGAGTGTGGTAATAAGACTGCCGTTTTGAGGCAAAAAGCCTCTGTAGTGTTTTGCTCCCCTCTGCACTTTATTCCCTTCAAATTTGATACTTTGCCTTGTTACCCTCAACGAGGTATTGAAAATAGAACATTTACATAGTCCCACAAACCTCTCTCTTTAACATTTTCTTGAATCCAATAGTTCATTTTGTGAAAGAGAAACAAAGTCAATTATCTCAAGTGGGGTTCTTTGATTTCTACTTGTGTTTTGATACTCAAGCATTTTACAATGTGTAACAAATGTCACATCTTCCTTATCCAAAATCGTTTTCTTTTCATTACTTGATGAAACTCTGGTCCCTATTTGACTATAATCTGTCAAATGTTCTGTGTTTTATGCTCAAAGATTGCTGCTTTTTTTTTTTATTGATTCTTGATCTTGGCAACTCCACTGAATTGAAAACAAAATCCCAAAGTTGAGTGATTGTTGGAGAAATTAGTGTATTTGTTGATCTTTATTCAAATCCATTCTGGGCAAAAAGCCAGAAATTTCAATCTGTACAGCAACAAGGACTAGAAAGATTCAATCTTTATGAAACAATGAGAGATGGGAGCTGTAAAAAAAACAAGGTTTGTTTTTTCAACAATGTCAAGTGATAGCTGTTTTGTGCATTTGTTTTTTTCTTCCCAAAATTTGCTAAAATTTTGTGTTTTGAGTGAAGTTCTCTTGGCCCAAGAGTCTGGTAAAGAAATGGTTCAATATCAAGAGCAAAGCTGAGGATTTCCAAGCTGATGATATTGTCTATGGAGGTAATTGATTCATTTTTATTTAAATCTGAAATTGTATTTTTGAGTTTTTTGGTTCTTGGAGTTTTTACTTTCTAATTAACAAACAAATTAATCACTTGCATGCTTTTGTATACTAGTCTTTGGAATCTAATAAGTCTGCCATTTTCATTTGCATCTTGAGATCTATTTCATTGTTTTGTTCTTTTCTGAATTGGAGTTGCCTATTATTTTCCTAGGTTTTAGGTTGTGTATTCTTTCTTTGATTTTTCTAATATGTGGGTTATACGTTGTACCAACAAAAATGACACAGCTTTAAACAACTTTATGTCCATTCTTTTTCAGGTGTTGATAATGAATGGAGGAACAACTTCTTAGAGAGGCAGGCTTCCACTAACAAGAAAAAAAGTAAAACAGGTTTAGTATCAATAATATTCCTTTTAAATTTTTCTTTTTTTGCTTTTTTAATTGGTTTGCCCCCTTTCTGAATCTGCATATTTTGTGTTGTTTAATTAAAAGAAAAAAAACTTATAGACAAGTCAGGGAGAAGGAATGCTGATCGTTTTCATCGAAATAAGATTGACCTCGACACTTCAGAGGTTACAGATGTGGATAACTACCGGTGAGTTTTTCTTTTTAAATCCAATTTGAGCTGTTTTCTTATTAAGTATGCATATCCCCTGAATGTATGTATGTATGTATTTTGGCACAGGATCTTTGTAGCTACATGGAATGTGGCTGGAAAATCTCCACCGAATAATTTAAATCTTGATGATTGGCTCCATACCTCACCTCCTGCTGACATCTATGTTCTCGGGTGAGTAAACAACCTATGATTATGTTTAGAACAATTTTTAGTAAGTAGTGAACAAAGATACTTATGATTCTTATTTATTTGAGTTGTTAGGTTTCAAGAAATTGTTCCTTTGAATGCTGGTAATGTTTTGGGGACAGAAGATAATGGTCCGGCTAGAAAATGGCTAGCACTCATCCGAAAAACTCTCAACAGTCTTCCTGGAACAAGTGGTGGTGGTTATCGTACACCCTCTCCAGTTCCTAATCCTGTGGTTGAACTAGATGCTGACTTTGAGGGATCGGCAAGAGAACAAGCCTCGTCTTTCTTCCATCGTCGCTCATTTCAGACATTAAGCCGTAGCATGAGAGTAATGGAGAGCGAAATGTCAATGCCACGGGCTCAACTTGATCGGCGATTTAGTGTTTGTGATAGAGGTGTGTTTGGGGGAAGGCCAAGTGATTACGACCCATACGCCCAATGGGGCGGTTCCTCTGATGATGAAAACGGTCCAGATGATTCACCTATTACGACCCATTGTTCCCCGATTTCATATAGTGGTTCCATCTCTTTAGAGGACAGAGACAGGCAGCCACTGCAATCAAGATACTGTCTTGTTGCGAGTAAGCAAATGGTTGGAATATTTCTTACTATCTGGATTAGAAGTGAACTAAGAGACGATGTTCGCAACCTGAAAGTGTCTTGTGTTGGTAGAGGATTAATGGGTTATCTAGGGAACAAGGTATAGATCCTTCAATGGAATCTTTGTCAAAGTTTTTGATTGCTTACAATGTGCACAAGTGCTAATTCCGTCTGTATTTTCAGGGCTCAATCTCAGTTAGCATGTCACTGCACCAAACAAGCTTCTGCTTCATTTGTAGTCATTTAACATCTGGACAGAAAGAGGGAGATGAGCTCCGGAGAAACTCTGATGTCTTGGAGATTCTAAAGAAAACAAGGTTTCCAAGGGTTCATGGCTTTGGGGATGACAACTCTCCTCAAACAATCCTCGAGCACGAGTAAAGCCCTTGCTTATATCTTGCAAGTCTATTTATTTGTTTGCCCTGAAGTTGGTTTTTGTCTCGTTTCGTTCCTAACTTTAGTTTTGTGCTTATGAAGCCGAATCATATGGCTTGGGGATTTGAACTATCGGATTGCCTTGTCTTACCGAACTGCCAAGGCACTGGTAGAGATGCGCAATTGGAGGGTGCTGTTAGATAATGATCAGGTATTTTATTCATATTCCGCAAGCAATTTTCTCCTTTCCTTCAGTTTCTTTTTTTCCAGATTTTAAAGTCACATAATCAACCAGCTCATCAATTGTAACTTTTGTTTTTCCAAACAGCTGCGGATAGAGCAGAGGATGGGACGTGTTTTTAATGGATGGAGTGAAGGAAGAATATACTTCCCTCCGACATACAAGTACTCAAGTAATTCAGATAGATATGCAGGAGAGGACACACACCCAAAAGAGAAACGAAGAACCCCTGCTTGGTAATCCTTCTAACAAATAGCAGCTGCAAAATGAAATGAACATACATGCACCTATCACTTTGTTTTTTTGTGCATAATGCACAAGTTCTCTCCTACCTTGTGCTCATAATTTTATTTGTTCATGTTGCATATCTGGACCCCTAAAACTTGTGACTTTTGAATGAAGGTGTGATCGCATATTATGGTATGGTCGAGGCCTGCATCAAATATCTTATGTTCGTGGAGAGTCTAGATTCTCGGACCATAGACCAGTTTATAGTATATTCTTGGCAGAGGTTGAGTCCATCAACCGCCATCGTATCAAGAAAAGTTTGAGCTACGCTAGCTCTAGGGTTGAAGTTGAAGAGTTATTGCCCCATTCATATGGATATGGTGGACATTACTACTAAGACACAGAATATTTGATGAAGTATCCTATCTCATAAACTCCATATTAAGTATGCTCTCCTTCTATGTCGGCTTCTGTATTTGGGATTCTGGATTGTAAGATCTCATACTTAAATATTTTTCATTAGTTAACATCACCGCTCTTTCTGAATCAGCAGATGCTTTAGGTTACACAGTCAAGATTTGGAGTTTTGGAGCTTATGCTGCAAAATTTAGAGGAAGATTCTAAGCAGGTGAGTTTCTATTTTATTTTTAATTTTTAACTAAGTAACATAGATAGAATTATTCTTTGACCACTTAAAATTAAAATTCAGCACTTCTAAACAGGAATCTGCAAAATGTGAGGACTTCAGAAGGGATGATAATGCTGTATGATAAATCTGCAGGTTTTCTACCTCAAGTCAGGTAAAACTCTTTATTTTTTTTTTGGTCAGATAAAAATTACAATTGTGCTGCCGCTTAAAAGTAGAATTTAACTGGTTAACGTGGTCACGCCAGTAATCAGAGTGATGAAAAGCACTTCTGTTTATCTTCAAGATATCGTAAGGACCCTATGCTAATTTGCTTAAGAAAATTTTGCAGGCGTAGAGCAGAGCAGTTCTGCCAGATTAAAGAAGGTTTTTTGTTGAAATATATGGAAATAGGAACAGACAAGCAAGATCAAGATTCAGAAACACAATTCTTGGAAATGCTTAGCTCTGAATGCCAGGATATGGTTGTTTCAGGTGATAATTCTCTAAAAAAATGAACGTATAGCGCAAATAATATATGTTTCTGTTAAACCATTAAAGATTTATCATTATTCACTCTTCTCTCAATTCATTTTCATACAGGACACACGGACAGACTCTTGAGGAAGGTGCTATGGTTAAGCGAAGAATTGGTTCTGGTGCATTCTCATCTCTTTTGAGGAAAAACTAAAATCATTGTGATACAAAATGTGATAAAAGTTTATGCACAGATAGACTTCTTCCACACTTTATTCTTTAGGGTGGTAGGCCTAGTCTTCTTTTTGTCCTTCATTCTATTTGAAGAAAAAGAAACTTTGGCGTGTATTTATTGCCACACACAAATAAGGAGAGCTGTGGGTATATATCTTAGGGGGTAAGGAGTGGACATCAATGACATTACTGAAAAGTATATGTTTTTCTGAAAAGAAAAAGGAATCACACTTTGCTTGGATACTTATTTCTATTGCTCTCTACATTTTTTTTTTTGGTTATATATTCATGAGTTTGTATGTTTGTGGATTGTCACTGAAAAGGGGAAGGGAAGTGTTGATTACAATTTAAAAACTAGTACTATTGAAATTCTGTAGAAAGCACAAAGCAGAACTGTGCTTTCTCTCACATATATGCATTGTCAGTTTCTTTATTGGAATGTCATCATATAAAGGAATGTAATTACATATGGTACTGTGGCACTCTAAAATGACATGTCAATCTGTAATAATCTTTGGTTCCACTTTCTTATTGTCTAGTGAATTTTTTTTTCTCAATTTTGCTGGTAATAAGGGGCCACTAACCTGACTGCAAATCTGAAATTTGGATAATTCAGACTTGAAAACCTATGTACTTTAATTTGTCTTTAACTTTACGTTAGCTTCTTTACTTTAATATGTTTGGATCATTCTTGGTTTGAATATGTTGAGTAGTACTAGTATATGAGAATCCTTACAAAAGCCAGGGTCCAAAAATGGACCCTTTCATGCAGAGACGCACGTCACATTTAGTCAATTTTCGCTTTTTCTCTTTGCATGGGAAATTGTGAATTCTTAACTTATAATTTGCCCGTTTCTCCCCTTGTTCTTTCTTTCTGGTTTTTAGGTTGGTTTTTTATCTTAGCGATTTAGTTTTTGCATTTAATGGAGCCTGAAAATAAATAATGTAATTATTCAGTATTCAGATCTAGAAATAATATTTTATTATTTATATGTGTATTCAGATTCAGACGTATTAATCTCAAATTTTAATGCACATCTTAATATTCAAATTAAATATGTATTTACGTTTAGCTGTCTTAATAAAAACAAAATCAGGCATTAGTTATTCTATTACTTTGAGAGAGTGGATTCTTGGTCAGGGCAAGTTGCTTTATTCTATCATTAAACATAATTAGAAGAAACTCATACAAAATTAGAGCCAAAAATATTTTGTTTCTTTTCATTTACATTAATTCTTCTCGAATTCGAGGTCAGATGCGTACACACTATCCTTCCTAGACCCCACTTGTGAGATTATACTGAGCATACTATTGTTGTTGTTGTTGTTTGAATTCGAGGTCAGATGCCTTTGTTAGAGTCTTAATCTCCAACTGCGAAACTCATAACTGCATTGAAATGTATATTTTGAGCTCGCTCGAGAAAAATGACAAAGACATCGAGAATTAAATCCACACCCTATTGTGTGATAAAACTTCTCCGGATGCCTCTAGGGGTTATTTGGTTTATCAGGATGTGATAGACAAGGACATCCCATTGATTGAGATTAATTAGCTATCTCATCTTCTATATGGAATAACTAATTTTACCATTTTAGTACAAAATGATTCTTGGGACTAATTAATACTTATAAAAAAATTATCCAGCATTTTATTTTGGAATTGTTATTCCTTATTCCACCAACTAAATGACCCCTAGATTGTAGTAGACATTTGTTTAAGAGGTATTTTCACCCGTCGCAATAACATTCCTATTTTTCCAGACCAGATATGCCCACAGACCTTTGAAGCTTTTCAATAAAATTTGAAGATTAATTACCTTGTCCTAGAAATCAAAACAATAGAGTAAATATACTTTCCAAAAAAAAAATGAAGCTCTTACTAGAAATTCAAGAGTGTCATAAAACAGTATAGAGCACAGTATGTTTTCCTTAAAACAATTTAATTTATTGTTTTTGTTTTTTTTCTCTCGAGAAAGAAAAACAATCAATAGGTTGCATCTCAAATAATTCAACATATAAATGGAGAACAGAAAACTGCAATATAAAAATTAAACTCTTACATCTTTTAGGTTATACGTCAAGTTAATTAATTCACAATGAACGATTCTCTCCTTTAGCTAATTCTGAGTCATCATGGGCTGTTGCATACTCAATAATCAAGAAGGTAAAGTACCATTTCATAATTATAATAATCTGAGTACAGACATGTGCGTTCTGAAACGCAGATAAAACTTTTTTTTTTTTACATTAAACAAAAAGAGAGACAGAATCCGAAGAAAGAAAGTGGAGGGCAGTCCAAGCTGTATTTTTTTGTTTCGTTTTCCCCAGCATCAGATTGCTTTGCCTACAGATTGTTTCTCTCTCTCTCTCTCTCTCTCTCTCTCTCTCTCTCTCTTTTTTTTTGGATTAATTTACTCTACACCTTTTGTGGTCATATTTCATAACATCATACTTTTCTTCCTTTTATTTCTTAATAAAAAGTTTTCAGCTTAGGACCCGTTTGACCATTTGCCGAAATATATTTGTTTTTTTTTTTTTTGGCAAATACATGTTTGTTTCATAAATTTTATTCATATTTTGGTAAATTTCCAAAACCGAAACCCAAATCCCGAAACTAGTTTGGCCCAAAATATTACTATTATATTTTTTAAAAATTACCCCAAAATTCTGTATTTTATAAAAAAGCCCACAATTTATTACTTTGTAACAATGCTTCATCTTCTCGGTCATCTGATAATGTATTATGTAGTTCATTATAAAAATGATAATTTTGTACCAAATTTATTTATGTTCAGGACTATATTTATTTGCGATAATATAATGAATATTATTGATGAAGGTACTGTTGGGTATTTGTGATAGTTTTTAGAACTTGTGGGTATAAGTCATGTTTCATATTTTTTCAAAAAAAAAAAAGTGAAATATGCTTTGAATTGATGTCCAAATATATTTTCATCTTCAAACCAAACTTCACCAAAATCAGATTTTTCAAAACAAATTAGAGAATCTATGGCCGGACGCTAGCTCAATGTTTCGAAATAGATATGTTTTCGTTGAAAGGGAAATCCAAATGATTCCAAAATAGACTTCAGGAATCAGGAGTATATATAACAAATAAAATACTTACAGAACAAAACAATTTCCCTATTTAAAGAAAATGAAGAGATGAAAATGCCCTCGTTGTGTTGGAAGTACAGGAATGACGTCAGAATAGAAAATCGACATATTATTAAAAGGAGAGAACATTATTAGGCGTCTGGATAATATTCGGTTGCAGTAGAACAAAAAAATTGAAATTGAAAAAGAGTATTAGCTCGTTTATGTCTGAACATGAATTCTTGGAAAAAAAAAAAGGAAGTTAAAGATTTGTGAGTAAAATTCATAGTATTTCAAATACTAAAGTTCAATATTATTTTTAAATATAAAAATATTATTTATGATGAAAAGGCATAACAAGCAGTATAGAAAATAAATCTGAATAATTGTTCGTTAGGTGTAGAATTGTGTTATGGGTTGAGTTACGAAAACACAATTCACATACAAGGCATGTAAGTTTCAGAGTTGGTGAGGGTGTAAGAAAAATACATGGAATGGGCAAAAGTGAGCAGGTTACGTACTTATTTGATGGTCCATTTGGAAGAGTGCCATATTTTGGATCATAAATCTTGTCTTCCCATTTGAACCTATATTATTCATTACACAAAATCTTTACTTGCTCTTATTTCTCATATCTCACGTGCTCTCTCAAGATAACATGATAATTGCCTAAACATATAGAAACTACGTACCCTGATTCTTAACAAGTAAAACTCATTACATATATACTACTGTACTCACCACGTAGACAGTTCAATAATCAAGAAAAAACTAATTCGGCCATAGTATATGCAAGCTCGATTTAGTAGCCGACCACCATTGTTTGAGTGAAATTTTCTCGCTCTTCGTTAATTATTTTGTTATTTATGTGCACCCGTAAGACTCAAGAGGGGGTCAATACGGTGGTGGATTTAGCATTTTAAAGTAATAGGTGTTCACTATTAATTAGTGCTAGCAAATGATGGGTGGAGCCGGATTGATATGGATGGATTGAACAAGTTTTAGACAGCACAGATAAAATTTCTGAATCACTCATATATAATACGGATAAAACATAGATTGAATGGTGAGAAATATGAATATTCATATTTTCTTGAATATTATCTTTATTGTGCGGATTCCAAACCACAATATAGGCCGTCAAATTTGAAGGTGGTAAATTGAGTATGTTTTCTTTTTGTGCCATGAACTAAATGAATTGAAGAAAGAAAAAATATCAAAAGTTAAGAACAAAAGGAATATTAGGTCATACCAAATTTTTGCGGTCCCTAAAACGTTTGCCTGATTACTGAAAAAGGACCCCGTACAATATTGTTATCGGGAAAAAAACTTACCCATCGGGTGTTTAATTACACCAAGCCAGGAAGGCAAATATGTATTTTTGGTACACACTTTATCGCTCAACCATGGTTATAAATTGGTTATATAGTTTAATTTAATGTTAATATCTTGAGCGATTAAGTATTTACCTTGTCGTTGTTTTTAAATTTCTGTCTGATTAATGAATAACATGATTGTTTTATCATCTATCTTGTGAAAATAATATCTAAAATGGATATTTAAAAAATATTACTAATAGTTAGTATTATTATATAACAATACTACTATATTACAAAATGGCAAATTAAGTTTTGCCAAGTTAATTTATACTGTATTGACTAAGAAAAATTCACCAAAATATCGGGACTAAGTAGTAAAAGAATTAGGTGGCATCTTCGAAATTCTTTGTCCTTTTTTTTTTCTTGCAAATTAGGTATTTCGTTAAAAAACAGTTTTTGGGAATTGAATTTTTTTCTGGTTGAAACTCTTGGTCAAATATTACCCCGAAGCAAACATTGAAGAGAAGTAGAAGTCAGGTGTAGGAGATTGGATGTTAGCACTAGCAAACAGCTGCACAATTACATCATCGTGGAGTAGAAACCTCAGGAATTGACAGTACATAAATACAACGTAGCTAGTAGGTAGGTGTAATTCAAACCATGCAACGTGCTCTAGTGATGAATTGGATTCTCTTCTTTCATCTGCAATACATACATTATACGCAGATGACATCATGTTTTTGTCATTCCTTGTACTACAACTAGGTTAACTAACAAGGTTGGATTTCTTGTTAAGTAAGTAAAAAGGTCAGATGCGTACGTCTGATCACTTAT